AGAGAGAGAGAGAGAGAGAGAGAGAGAGAGAGAGAGAGAGAGAGAGAGAGAGAGAGAGATCAGCATTTTTGTCCTAAATAACGAGACAAGAAATACCAACAACATGTTTCTGAAACAGTTATAGAGATTTGATATCTGAACACTTTTTGTGTGCACAGTGTGAGAACATTTTGATCATTTGTTACAGAATTAAAGTAACTACTTTGATATATTTGCAGTTGATGGTGTCATCCCTTGGAGAATCGTCTCATTTGCCTAAAATCTGTGCCACATAAAAGCTGTACAATCATTAAGATTCTTTTATTTATGATGTGGCTCTAAAGGTTTTTCTCTTAGATTCATGATGCAGACAGCTGTATCTGACCCCCTGCTGCCTGTCAGGGAACTTTACACCACAGGTATTCTAACTTCATGATGTCATTAGATTTACAACCCGATTACATCAAAGACAGACGCTTTAGCTTGCTGCTGGAAAGAAAAAAATAAGATTCTAGTTTTGAATTTAAGTTAGTGTAGATTGATTTTAATCGGGGCTGTCAAATTATACATTTTTTTAAATCACGATTAATCGCATGTTTGAAATCCCATATGATAAATTGCATTACAAAACAGTTTGTGTCACGCCCTTATTTTGGTACTGTCTTAAGCTGAGGGTACTTCACTTCCTGTTAGGAAGTTTGAAAGCCTGTGCGCTTTTATTTTTTAAATAAAGTAAGGCCCTTCCTGTAGCTGGAAGGTTAGGACATGAAGTTAAGCCCAGAAACAGGAAGTGGTTAGGGATCCCAAACTGAGGTCAAACAGCTAAAAGGAACGGTAACAAAGGTCAATGTGTGATGTCATCAGGTGGATGTTACTTTGGACTCGTCAGCTGAGCTGTCTGAGAGTTTGTTAAAGAGAAATGAGACATTCAAAGTCCTTCTTTAACATCACTGAGACTACAGGGAGACACTGAGGACGACTATCTACGGTGAGCCTGAAGGGACAAAATAGAATGAGATTTTAAAAAAGAATGCATCAATTTCGGAGCTTAATTGCATCTTGATCGATGACAGACTTTTTTTTTATAAATATGCACGAAAGAAAGTCGAGCTGCTGCCTCTGGGAGGGCGGTCCTGATTCACATGGCTACATCCACACTTTAAGATCAGTGTGACAACTCTGTATCATCACTGAGCACTTCAAACGGCGTCAGACTCCTCCAGAGTCATTATTCCTTATATAACACTGAGTAATCATCATGGCTTCCACACACAGGGGCATTGATGTAGCATCTGAAGCCGCAGGCTCTCGGTCGTGCGGAGTGTTGGTTTGGCTCGCCACCGAGGCTTGACGGGTCACAGACAGACCGTGGCCGAGGCCGTCTCTTCCTCCTCCGTACTTCTTCTATCAGAGCTCTCATTTCTATTTACTGCACTCTCTCACCACCAATAACTCACGCCTGACGCTGGATGAAATATTCACATTTGAAAATGAGCGTTGAAGAACGGTTTCCTCTGCACTAAATCTTCTTCTTCTTTGTTTCTTTAACTCCTCCGCCCCTCCTCCTTTCTCTCGTCCTGAACCCGTCTCTTTGTTCGAGTCCGTTTCTGCAGGCGGGGATTCATGCAACTCTAAAGGGTGCAGAGTTATTCCCTCCCCGCCCCGACAGCTTCTCCAGAGGTCAGTGTGGAAATGTGATGAATGGTAATTTCAGAGCAGACAGACAGCTACAGAGAGACGGCGAGCTGGAAGGAAATAAAAGACAGGAGCTGAGTTTCCATCCAACTATATTTATGAGAGTTGAACTTTAACCACCCGGATTCTGCAGATCCTACACGTGATACTTCTTTTTTTATAATTAGAAACACTATTCTTACTGATGCACACACTCTGGAGCATCTCATGTCTTGTAGGTACCTCTGGATCGTTGGCCGGGAGGGACTGTTGCTATGTGTACCGTCTTAAGCTGAGAGTACCTTCCTTGCTGTTGGAATTCAACGTGCTTTTATTTTGACATAAAGTAAGGACCTTCTTGTAGATGGAAGGTTAGGACATGAGGTTTAGCACAGAAACAGCAAAGAGGTCCAGGATCAGAACCTTGTGAGAACTGGTCAACGTATAGCCTAGCGGTTCATGTCTTGCTCGCCATGTAGGGAGGCAAAAGTCCTCGTCGCAGCGTTCATGGGTTCAAATCCGACCTCGGCCCTTTGCTGCATCTCATCCCCCACTATCTCCTCCCGACAACGTATAGCACCAAGCGGTCCGGTTCAGCTCGGTACCCATTATTGGAGTTTGCACCTTCAAAAGTTGGGAATGGTACCAAAATGAAGGCTCTGTACGTCTTACTTTTTTGGTACCTATCTGTTGGGGCACCAAGACGACCGATCCGACCCAAAGGTCCCTTTTGTTTACTGTGTCCCAGTTCTTCTTCTTCTTCTTCATTGAACATGCAATTAATGCGGGCTACACTGCGTCGGGCTGCTATGATGTCACACTATTTCTTAGCTGACTCAGCTATCTCCATCTGGCTTACACTCCGCTTACCAAATAAGGGTACAGTTGGCGGTGGAAACGCAAAGCAAGAGCAGGGTTTACCGTCCTGAACTGAACCAGAGCGCTTGGTGGAAACGGGGATCATGTCTCTCTTTGGCGGTCTTGTCTATTAAAAGGCAAAAAATGTCCCAAAACGTAATTAAAGTAAAACAGTCTCAGTTTGTTGTTCTAAGTGTCTGACGTGACAACGCTACAGAACAGATTCTGACAGAGAGAGACCTTCCCTCTTTAAAGTCAGATTCTTTAAACCACAAACAGCTGTTGTGTCACTCTTCTTCTTCTTCAAGGCAACCAGACTCCATTGACAAAAACAGTCATTTTACACGGAGGTTTGCTGCTTTGATGGGTGAGTTTGTTCATGTCATTGTGGGACTTTGATGTTCTGAATGGTGAGTTTGGATCAAATGTTTGTTGAACACGCAATAACACAAAAGACAAACGACCTGATTGGAGCAGCCGGCGAGCGAACACTCCCATACTCTCTGAGGTCAAACGCTTGTTTTTCTAAATGGGGTTTGGTTGCTTTGAACACAGTGATGTCAGAGTGATGTCATGGTGGTTTCTCATTCTCTGTGTTGGGATCCGTTCTGTGATGTTGTCAGAAACTCTCTGAGCTTTATTCAGACTGCCAGCTCAAGGCGCGATCTTAACGCCACGTCTTCAATATGAAGGTCATGGAGGCGTAATGGAAAGAGGTGATTCGACCTCTGTGCCACCATCCGAGGTAGCAGCAGAGGCGTTACAGGGGCGAGACAGGGTCACTGTTAAGACGTGTTTGTGTATGTGGATCGCTGTCTGTAAAGGCTGGTTACACACACAACAGAGATTTTCTTATCTTGATTATAAAAACGTCGGAGAACCACAGACATTTGGGACAGTTTCAACACACTCCTGCCGTTTGTAGAAACGGTTCCACGCGAGATCTCAAAGAAACACGCGTGATGCAACGTGACTTCAGAAGAAAAAACAAACATGGAGGACGATGGACGTGGTCAGGGGGCTCAGTTTAAGTGTTTAAGTTCGCCGCCATTTTTGTGGGCTGTAAAAGTGACGCGGCATACGGGTGGTGACGCCTCCAGTTTTGCTCACTCTCATTGGCTGTTGCCAAGTTGTTAAATTGTTTCCATGCAATGTGAAGTTTTGTATTATTTACTGAGTCATCGTGCAGATCACATCTGAGTTGGAGTGTCAATAACATGAGGCGGGTTAATGCCGCCACTTCCACACTGAAGGAATCAGACGAAGTAGGAACAAATATCAGCCTACTGAACAGGAGGTCCTAACAGGATACAGCACGCAGAGAAGGGACAGTCTACTGTCAGATTGCGTAGGAACCATCAGGTAAGAATCACATCCCTGTACATCTCAAAAATGTCGACTAAAGCCGTCTCAACTCCTGGTGTTTTCTCCTGGATGACAACCGGGCTATCAGCTGCATATAAAGGATCAGTCTCAATGTCAGGGAAAGTAAAAGAAAGGTTTTGCTTTCCTGAGTAAAAAAGCAGTTTTCTCAAAAGACAACAACAGCCGCTACAAAAACAAAAAGAGGAAGAGGAGGGAGATAGAAAGTGGTGAAACATCTCTCCTCCTCCTCCTCCTCCTCCCGTTCACTTTTCCGGGAAAACTTCGGCAGTGATTTCCAGACACACACTGGGGTCACCGGAGGAGGCTGAGGCCGTCGACTGGTTCTAATTACAAACTGCACTGTAAGGACTAGTGCTGCCTCGGTGTGTTTCTGAGTGTGTGAGAGAGAGAGAGAGAGAGAGAGAGAGAGAGAGAGAGAGAGAGAGAGAGAGAGAGAGAGAGAGAGAGAGAGAGAGAGAGAGAGAGGATGTAGAACAAGGTGTTGTGGCTTATTGTTATGGTGAGAAGGCTTTGCGGGCCATCACAGTCACCTGCTTTCTATCAGAGGCATCTGCTCCGACACACACAAACACACACACACCGCCTGCTTGTCCTCTCGCTTGCGCTCTTCACACACACACACACACGCACACACACATTATGTCATAGCAGAGATGTTTGCAGTGACTGTCAGGGTGATGCAAGGCGCTGTGTGAGACAGGAAAACACATCGAAGCCATGACTCGTCTCCTACTGCTTAACAAGAGGCCGTAAAAACAGCCTGAACACGGCGCACATGGTTTCCACGTCTCGCTGGATTACTGCAGCTGACACTCGTGACTGAAAACAGCTCCAAAGGAAGTTTAAATATGATGCTGCGTTTTGTACACACACCTTTATCTAAGAGTCGAGTATTGAACCTCGACCTGTGAAGTAACAAAGCTGGGGATGGGTAGCGAATACCAGTTCTTTTTGGTGCTGGTACGTGATTGCCGATTACGTGATCCTGTCAGTATTTACACAAGTCCCTCTAATTTAAAGTGCTGGCTGTCAGCCAAACAAACAGCGGACTAGTCACTTCATTACAGGCTGCTTCTTTTTCTGTTGTAGGATTGAAGTCTTACCAGCCATGGATGAGGGATCTCAGGGAGGGGCATCTGAGGCGGGGCCGGCAGACCACTGTGGATCTCGGACTTGAATGACGGCTCTGAGAAGGAGTGGCAAGTGAAAGAAAGTTATTGACTGCAGAGTCCATAAAGAAACAGCGGGCATAAGGACCAAAAAAACGTATATGTCAACTTCAGTAGCTTCAACTTTAATCCAGGCTGAACTTGAACAAAACTTCAAACAGTGAGTAGCTAACCAAATGTTCTCATAGTGATGGGTAAATAATGTTTGCATGTTCCAGTAAATTCAAACGTTTGATAAACAGATAATATTCCATCTGGGTGCATTAAAAAAAAAACTTTTGCATTTATGACACGTGTGTGGTTCTCTGTCGTGCACACATAGGTTCATCATCTCACCTTTTTCTGAGAGGACTCTGTGCAGGATGTTGGACAGGTGCAGCTTCCTCTCTCGGACCCCGGCGCTCAGGTACTCTCTGTCCAGCAGGTCCAGGAAGAGACGGAGCTCACACACCAGCTCCTCCATCGCTGCAGCCCAAACACAAACACACAGAGAGAAAGAACGTATTTAGTGAACATTTTTAGCCAAACGGTAACCTGCGGTCCTGAAAAAAATTAAGCCAATGCGGAAGTGTAAAAATCCTGCAGTTCATTGAGTGTCCACTAGAGGCTGGCTGCAGAAGCACAGGAAGTCACATACACACCCATTCTAAAAAGCCTGTTTTTACAGCAGAGATTAACATGTTTACAGCCTGGTTCAAAAAAACAAACAGGTCTGATTAGTTATTGTCATCATGCGCACAAACTGTACGTGGGAAGATTTTTTTTTAAGCAGCGCCGTTTTGATTTTGAAAATGATACGTGTTATCCATAGTTGGGCGTGTAGCTGACAGGTGGGCGCGATGTAACGGTTCATCAAGAGGTTTAAAACCCGCCTCAGCTCCAGCTCTCAGCCTGTTGTTAGGTTGACTGAAAGTTCGACTGAGACAGCATTTCCAACATGGCGGCTGCAGATGAGCTTCCAGCGCCCCCTGCAGGAGCAGATGGCTGACGTCACTCAGGCTTCATCCATTAATATTTACAGTCTATGTTTTTAGCAGAAGTAGGAGGTCAAGTTGTGAGGAATTCAAGATTTAAAAGGCTGGAGACTTTGTGGAACAACTTACGGTAAGTCAGAGATTTGAAAACAAGAAGTGCATCACCGTGAGCACAGGACCAGCTCATTAATCCACCTGAACACTCCCTGTGTTTGAGTTAAAGCTGTTCTGAAGTTATCTGCTCTTTCATCTAACACTAAACAGACTCTGAACAAAAGCAACACACTGTTATACAACAGGCGAGTGTGCAGCCAGGTAGAGATGGAAAACAGAGCGTCCAGTCAGTCAATCAATCAGCTCAGGACAGACCTGGCAGCCCACCTGACGCACATTCTGCTGCAGAGTTCTTTCCGTCTGCTGGTGGAAAACAACGACACCGCCTCCTCCTCTCACAGAGCGAAAACATCAGGAGGAACCAGAAGTGGAGGTACACCTTCACAATGATCATATCTGACAGCTGGTTGTGATACGGACGGCTCTGCAGATAACAAACATCTCGCTGTGTTCCTGTGCAGCTCGAGCTTACAGTCAACATGTGATGGTATCACAGGTGACGACATGGTGCAGGTGAGCGGCTGCAGACTGAAGGAGTGAGTGGAGAAGAAGATGACAAGCTCAAGAAAAGCTGACTGGGCGGATATAGTAAAGAAGACGTCACGCAGATGTAACCTCGATCAAGATCAGTTAGTGAGAATTAAAGTTCAGCTCCTTCACATGATAAACCTTCAGGCTGAAAAAAACACATCTTCAATTCATTCAATGAACTTCCAGTCACAAGCCGACTCTCTTTGAGTACATTTCTGTGAATATCTGTCCAATAAATCAAGAAAAATATCAGAAATAAAACTAATGACAGGTGCATGGGTAATAAGCCCAAAGGAAATATTCAGCCGAGTCACACCACCTGAAATATTAAAAAAGAACCAGAAGGCCACTCAGCGCCTGCAAACCAAATTGAATGAAACTCTGGCACATGTTTACATTCTGTAGTTTTTATTCGGGCCAGACTGATTTTGAGTTTTTGATATTGGGGAGTAAAATAATTCAAAAAGATATATCGGCCAAAATCTTCCAAAGCTTGGATTTATGTAGAGATAGAAAAACTCAGCTATTGTATCAAAAAAAAAAATCAGGTTTTACATAATAATATTGAAGCAACTTTGGCCTAGCTCTTAGATCACGCCCCATGCACAGAGGCCTTAGTCCTCCGAGCTGACGACCCCGGGTTCAAATCCGACCTGTGGCTCCTTTCCTGCATGTCATCACCCACTCTCTCTATCTCCTGAATTCCTACTCTATCCACTGTCATATCAAATAAAAGGCATAAAAGCCAAAACATATCAAAGCCAGAAGCAGAAGAGGTGAACTAATGTGACCCAAGTGTTAAATATCCCAGCAGTCTAAAACAAACCCCGTCCCTCCAGCCGCTCCACGTGCTGGACCAACGAGTCCGTCTCCATGGCAGGGACTCTGCGTTCCTGCTACTCTCCTCCAGGTACGTGATGAACAACAAACCTCTCCTTGTGAACACCACATCTGAACAGAACTCACACAGGTTTTCTATGATTAACCGTGGACAGGTGAGGCTGCAGCTCGCTGGAGGAACGCGGAGACATGTTCCTCTTGAAATCTGATATTTATAAAGTGCACGTTTCCAATGCATTCTTTTCTCAGAGCAGCTCGGAGGCTGGGTCCCTCAGCGTCTTTCACACATTCCTCACGTTAACCAGATGATTCTGCAGGAGAGAGAGGGAGGGGAGTACAAACCAGGAAGGAGGGAGAAGGAGGAGAGAAGAGAACGTGATGCAGAAAGTGAAGCAAGGAGTCAAGAGTCAAGATTATTTTTTTTCCACCTTGTTGATATGATGCATTTAGCATTTAGCATTTAGCTTGACTCACATTGAGATTCTGTTCAACTACACGTAGCATTGATATAAAGACAAATATTCTCATTATAGCTTCATATAGAGGACTCTGATGATGCTTCTGACACTTCTGCATCTTTGCCTCAGGAGACCCCCCCCCGGCCCCCCCCCCATCCTGTCTGACAGGGATAGCCCCCTGCTGTGAGGTGTGAACGACCAAATCAGGAGGATATAAAGGGCAGTTCTCCTGAAATGATCTAAAAGTTTTCAGGAGTGCATGTGTTAAAAACGGCTCATGTCAATCAAACTCTGCCGGTGAGTTCTTTCAATTTCAGGTCATTTTTTGGGGACTTTTATTTGATGTCGAGGTGTGTGATAGAGTGGAGGGTGACATGTACAAAACAGAGTCAGGACCCAGAGTTGATCCTGCGACCAGTTCAACGAGGACTGAAGCCCGCCCGCCCGCCCACACACACACGCCCACACACACACACACACACACACACACACACACACACACACACACACACACACACACACACACACACACACACACACACACACACACACACACACACACACACACACACACACACACACACACACACACACACACACACACACACACACACACACACACACACACACACACACACACACACACACACACACACACACACACAATGTTCCTGTTTGAGCCAAGCTCTCTTCACTGCTCCATTTACTGTTTCACAGAGTTTTGTGCAACCTGTGCAATACTTTACCTCCACAGGGGTGGTCAAAAAACTACCCCTGTGTGTGCGAGTGTGTGTGTGTGTGCGCGTCGTTAAAACCATAAAGCCAGCACTCAAGATTACCAGAGTCGGCGAGGGAAAATCAAGTGGCACGGAGCGAGGAGGACCACCCTCAAACAGGGCCCGAGGGCGAGTAAAAAGTACCTCATCGTGCAAACAAACCTCCCACGCCCTTCCTTCAAAGACTCACTCCTCCTGTCTCACTCTCTCCTTTTCTCCGTCTGTCACTCCACTCCACCTCTTTTTTGTTGTTCATTTAATGCAGAATTTTGATTGTGCAAACAGCTTCTTTTTCACGCACACGGAACACGTTTAGGTCAGTCGTCTGATAGCTCACATATTCTTTCAATTATATTTACATCAGGGCAAATATAATTTCCTCTAACCACATTTGCTGTGTCAACACCACGCATGCATGAGAAATGATGGAAGCTCTTTCCAAGAAAAACAATGAATCCCTACACCCAGACGCTCCCACACACACACACACACACCATGAAAACACCTCGACATGTCGGAGGGATGTTTTCACTGCGAGGTATTCACACTTCCCGGAGCTCAGAACAAAGCGGGTTTTTTCCTGCGTGAGGTGTGTTGTGTGTTTTTTTTTTTCCTCAAGACGGCTAGGGTCATGTTTGGGTCTCGGAGAGAACTCGAGACCCCAAGGCTCCAACGCTGGAGTTGTTGTCGGTGCAAAAAAAATGCATATGTGGGTTAGAGGGAGGAGGGGTTTTCTGTGCCATTTCCCAGAATACAGCTGTTCTGATAGACAGCTCACAGACTGAGACCGTGCCCCCTCTGTGTGTGTTTCAGGTGTCTGCTAACATCAGTGACTTTAACACACACACACACACACACACACACACACACCAAGCTGTGAACTACAAAAACATCTGAATCACTCGTCACTGCTCATCTGTTGACTCGTCACTGTTCATCTGTGTTTACTTTGGGGAAGGGGGGGGATACAGTTATTGAAAGATGCAGCTTTTCATATTACAGCCAGTTGTTGATTTTTAAAAGTACTGTCTTACTAAAAGCGGAGGTCAGGTTGAACAAACAGCAACGTTTTCTAGCTGCTCCCGAGGTGTTCCCAGACCAGATGGGATATATATTTGTTTAGTCAACCCCGGGGTCTCCTCTCAGCTGGACGAGCCCAGAGAACCTGGACCAGGAGCCACCTCAACCGGCTCCTTTCAATGTGAAGGAGTAGCAGCTCTACTCTGAGCTCCTCAGCCTCCTCTCTAAGGCTGAGCCCAGACTCCCTCCAGCTGCTGGTATCTGCGATCTTATTCTTTCGGTCACTACCTAAAGCTCATGACAAGAGGTGAGGGTTGGAAAGTGGATCGACTGGCAAATCAAAACCTTTGCCTTCAGGAGGTTCAGCTCCTTGTTCACCTCGATGGTCCAGCACAACGCCCGCATTACTGCTGATGCTGCCCCAATCCGTCCGTCATTCTCACGGTCCAAAGTCTTAAACTTTGCCTCATTACCATCCAATTCCCTGAAACTCTTACATCCCAGCTGTTACTGCTGGTCTTGTGGGTCCAAACCCACCCGACCCAAACAATCTGTCAAACCCAGTCCAGACCTTCTTACACCGATCAGTCGTTTAGACCACAAGAAAAATATGAAAATATGTGCCCAGCTTGAGGTGCCGTTTTAGTTTGGGGTAGAAAAGCAAGAAGGGTGTAATTTGTCACAGAAAGGTTATATAACATCGAAAGACACATCAGCAGACTGCATGTCATCTCCATCGCACGCCATGCCAG